CTTTTGTTACCCCCCCCCCCCCCCCCCATGCAACTGTCCATACCTCTGGAGCAGTGCCTTAACCACAGTGATTAAATGATACAGAGATGACAGCAGATTTAGATTCAGTATATGTGATAAAATCATAACACAACCGCTTGCCAAAACACACGCTACATAGACATGTGATGTAATACCTCCGGCTACAAGCTGAACCATAAAATGTGATGCCGTCTGCCTTATCTTATAGATCACCTCTACCCTGTCCATGCTAGGGTCATTAATCCGGATAAGTTGTGGACTGGATCGGGATGCAAATGCGTGCAGTCGTGTCAATGCATGAGGATATATGTGCTCACGCATGAGGATGTCTGTAAATTGATTTGCAGTGAGATGGATTTCTGAGAGCCATTTAGAGAATTCATCGTAACTTGAAATGGTTGAGGGGTTTATTGTGTGTTTGCGTGCACAAGAATGCCAGAAAATAGTTTTGAGATAGCAAAACTTAAAAAGAAAACGCAGAAAGGTAAAAGAGATGTTGAAAACAGAAGTTGACACCATATTTTTGCATGCACACACGACACATGCCATATTGTTCTCTACGTAATATATGAAGTGGTCACCGGAATTCTTAGCTAAGACAATCAGTTTTGCTTTGTTGTGTGAATTCAAAATTGCAACAATACTTTTTAAAAGAAATAGAAATAAAGAAATTCATGTATTCAAAATGGCAGTGTCAGGGGGATATACAGTGATGATTGATGAAAGATTGTTATGACCATCAAGATGTCTGCCAGTGAACAAACAGCATCTTCACTAACTTTATATAAATGCGTCTCAACTGTCATGCTTCTCCTTTGCATAAAGTAAGCATTAAAAGTAGCCTGTGCATGCAAAAGGCAAATAAAAATACTGCTGTCCACCCTGGACCTTATATATATATATATATATATATATATAAATCCCATTGAAAGCCCTTGCAAGAATGAATTCTAAGTTTTGTCATTTTATTAATCTGTACTAGTACTGATTTTTATAACTTATATGATATTTGATACGGTGTCATATGTAATATTGATACTTGATAAACTGCCCTTACTACAATATAAAGCAAGGATGAAATATTGCCATATAAGTGATGTCATCTTTCAAGCAAGGGCTTGCAAAGTACGATAGTATCAGAGAATTTATATGCCCCATTTCTTTAACTCTTGTTGTCATCATGATAAACGATACATAGTCTCATATTTTATAAAGCCAGTTCTTCTTGAACTCCCCCATCCTACATTGTACAAAAGGCTACACCAGGGCGGAGTGTGCATTGTAATAATTTAACCAGGAAGAAAGTTAAGTTTTTATCCCAGTGCCACATTTTGAGCGTGGGCCTACTAGTACAATAATTATAGTCGATACAGAAGAATGATCAGATGCAGATCCACCTCCTTCGTTGATGTTGACTTCGAGAAATATATCATTTTAAAAATCATAATATATTTGTAAGCTGCCATGATGTTAGGTCCTTTATACATAGATTGTATACCTAAGCGATATAATAGCCTGTACTAGTACACTTTGTGAGATTGCAGTGACAGTCTAATAGTCTTTCTTTTTTGTGAGAGAGTCACCTAAATGTCCTTCCCCATCCCCATCTTTGACAAAACCAATTAAAAACTAGAAACTTCACAACAGGAAAGAGAATTATGGGAAACTAGTATAAGGGATTTAATTGTTAGTTAATTACTTGTTAGGGCCTTTCAGAGTGTACCAGTATATACTAGTACTGTATCCTCTATAGTAAATATATTATGATATTTGATATGAATGGCACACAGTATGCACAAGGACATCATTGAACAATTTACCAGGGCTGCACGTCTAAGTGGTATATAGACTTAGATAGAAATTAACTTATTAAGTCAATATTAAGTCATTGATTTCTTGGAAATATTAGATTACAGCTGGTTACAGAAATGTTATTGGGTGTCTGTTGTTTATAAACTGATGATAATCATGCTGACATCATTTACTATCTAGACTCAGTTGTCTATATATGGTTTTAATTGTAAGGGCCAGGCCACCGTAGAGTTAACTGTTCCTCACCCAAGAGTTTTCCCAGAGAGCAGTCCAGCCATCATTTGGACAGCCTTTGTCCTCAAAAGACTGTTCGTATTTTCCAAGACAGCTGGACAGCTTATAAAATTTTTGGGGAATATTAGTAGTTGGACCCCCTGAAAATAGGTGACCAAATTACAGATCAACATTTTGGACTCCCTGTATTTTAAATAATGGAGAAACCCCAGGCTTCGCTTTATGTTCTATGGGTAGCTAAGATGTGTGTGTGTGTGTGCATTAGAGAGAGAGAGAGAGAGAGAGAAAGAGAGTTAGTTTTGTGTCCCTTTTTTTCAACTTTGTATAACCCATCTTGGCACTAGTAGGTGCATTTCCAGACATTTTTTGCAGACCTTTCCTGATGTCAACAATTTCAGTCATCTACTATACTTGTTTGCTTTGAACAGAAACCATTGCCAGAAAATCTTATCACACTTATTTACTATTTTTAAATTCTTAATCTCTTTTTATTTTGAGGATTTTTAGTTGACTTTTAGCTAGGGAAGTCATCCAGTTTGGCTTTTCTTCAGGGTTGCTGCATGGGAATCTGTCATGTGATAAAAACCTGTTGTCAATGGAATGTCACTTATGGTATATTTTATAATGTGCTGTATTAAAATTATTTTTAAACATTTCTTTAGGAGCTCTTCCATTCATTCTTCCAAAAGAAAAATAATATTTAATTAATTTATTCATAATTCAATATTATAATCATTTATTTATACTGATAACCAATCTTAGAACTGATACAGATTGTCTTTTTTAATTTTATCTCTAGTTTCTCTTTCAAATTTCAAACTTTAAATCACCCTAATTAACTTACTACATTTTATCTGATATGTAAAAAAGGCTCAATTTCATTGACTTTTATAACAAATCTCTTCTTTATTAACATGATACATTGTCATGTAAATATAAATAATATTTCTAGTCATTGTGTATTTATCTCTGTTATTTAAGAACAGCCAAAACAGAGAATTACCATAAAAACAGAAACCAGATAATTTTTTCATCTTTGTAGTATGTTTTAGTTTCTGAGTGTGCTTTCTCTGATTTAATCAACAATAACAGAATTTCTGTGAAATTCCTCAGAAAACTTGATCATATTAAAAAGTAACTAATAGTATGTTTTTTTAATCTCTGTGTGCTTTCTCTCCCTTTCACAGGACTCCCCAGATTCTGACCGAGACTATGCGAATTACAGACCAGGTTCTCTCTCTCCCTTTTCCACTTTCGCTATCTCTCCTCCCTCCCCCAGCCTCGTCCCCAATAACCCTAAGAAAAATCTCGACTATGGCTGGGAAGAACATCTGGACGAAACTACAGGACGAACTTACTACTACAACGTGCACACGCGACAAACATCGTGGAACCCACCTCGGGTACGAGCACGTATTCGCTCACACTCGGATGCGGTTTTTACCGCCAGGCAACGGCTTCAACTTAACACCAGTCGGGACTCTGCATTTTCCTCTGATTTTTCACCTGTAGGTGGCGTGTCATGCACATTTCTTTACTTCCTTTTGGAACTTTCTGTGACTCAGAAATTCATTGACAGTTCCACATTATATTTTTTTATTCTGTGTATGCATCATTATCTGTTATATTTCATCTAACTATACTGCATGCCCCATTAACAGCCTTTTTGTTCTAATTATTGCATTTGATGTATTCTGCCTGCTACCACTAATCGCATTTCTAATACTTACATATAATATGTTTTATTGCACTTATTCTCACAAAACAAACATTAAAGAAGGGGGGAGGGGCTGCAACGCCTGCTGCACCTGATGATAAAATTGCAACGTGTTTCAAATTGACAAAAATATTTATCTAGCAAATAATAGCAGATATCTTAAAAGACAGATGCCTATTTTAGGTCATGTTTGCTACTAGACCAGTTGAGTCTGGTGACGTGTCACATAAGACCTTAAGCCTAATTATTAACTGATTCATACTGCTTATAAGTTGTATTTTTGATATTGGTCGAAGAGCATTTTATGAACAATTGGTGCACAAAATATTTAGTTAACATAGAGTCCAAAATAGGCTTTTATTACCATTGAGACGAAAAGTATTTGTCAGGACAGTTAAAATTGAGTCAGGGGCTTGATTGAAAGTCCAAAAACAGATCCTTTTTAAATTCTTTGTAAAAATTTTCAATAGTCTTTGATAAGACAGATTTTTTTATTTTACTCATTTTGTGAAATAGGCCCTTGAATAATCAAAACTGACATCTCAAAATGGCAAAATGTTTGGGATTTGAAAAAGAGACAAATTCTCCTATCCCTGTTGTTTTGGTTGCAAGTAATGTTTTTTTCACATAGTACATTTGTCAAACCATTCATGTGCATATCAGGGGCGTAACCAGACCTTTAAAAATTGTACGCACAGATTTTTAAAGTTCCCAGCAAAATTTAGACTAACGCAAGAGATGAAGGACAGCGTAATCACAGCATATGTACCACACATCGCAGCTTAATTTCCATTAATAATAAAAACATCATTTAGTCAGAAATATTCTCGCAATTAAAAAAGTTTCAATATTCTTATTACCCAGAATGGTATATTTATTTAAAAGGAGGCTAGCTTCGCATACGTGGAACCCCCTTCGAATAATCCTGGATCCGCCTCTTGAGTTGAACTAACATACGATTTCATTCACCTTACATGTGGATGCATGGTTTCCCAAAACAACCAATTGTACGACACGACAGAGCTCTGATACATCTAAGTTTTATTACTTGTTTGTAAAAATTGCCCATGTCACCCTGTTAGTGAAGGGGTAAGCTGGGTCAAGTCCGTGTCAAAATTCTTTGACGCTTTGCAGGAAAAATCCTTCCTTTGTTTCTCTAGCTCCTTATAAAACCTGGTGTCCAGATTTTATCTAGTGCCCTCAGGGTTGCGGGAGCTGCTCTTTGAAAAGCGAGGCTTCAGGAGAGTTGTGGGCCACTGAACCCTCCAAATAAGAGGTAAAGGAAGTTCCAGTTAGATGGACGATTAAGATAAAACTTGTTAAGGTTTCAGGCATTGTTTACCTCAGTTAAATAATAGTATGCAAGACGGGGGG